TCTGCTTGTTTTGACCTACAGCTCATTTTTAGACTAATTTTTAGCTAAGTCTGCGTTTTCATGAAACGTATTCCTCGCAAGATTTATAGTCGTTTAATCAGCTACCATAATAACGATTTGCGTGATGCTTTTCATAGAAAAAAATTAAATATTTTTTGAGTAAAATTGAAAAACAAGCTGGTAAACTCAAACGGTAAATCTCAAATGGCTAGCATTTCATTGCAAAATGGAAAAGGATCCTTTAAAGATCAGCCCTTTCCTTATTCTTTTTTATTCAACAAGCACGCACCACTTGTTGCCCGATTCCTCCAGACTCGAGATCCTTGTCCCATCTGAAACGGAATCTTATGCTTTATCACAGGAAAAATCTGGAATTTATGAATATAAGAAAAGCTTGATTACCTCGAGATGAAGTAGCGGAACTGGACGATCACCGATCGAATCGCGGCGGAGACCTGGACGAATCGAAGAAATCTCTGAAATTTTAAGTGAAAAGAATCGATTGCAGAATCGTTTGGAAAAGATTAGAGAAAGGAAAAGTGCTTGGATTGACGTGTCTCTTTTTTGGATTTGTCTTTGAAAAAAACAAATTCAAACAACAAACAAAAACAAAAACAAACAAACAAAACAAATTCAAATCTTTCAAGAAAAATATAGAAAGATATAGAAAGATATAGAACGATAGAAAAATATAGAAAAAAGTAGAAAGATAGAAAGTAAAAAGATCCAGATATAGAAAAATGGAAAATATACAAAGCTAGAAAGAAAGAGAAAAATATAGAAAGATAGAAAGACATAAAAATATAGAAAAATATAGAAAGATGTAAAAGATATAGAAATACAGCAAGATTTAGAAAGATAGAAAGATAGAAAGATGTAGAAAGATATAGAAAAATAGCAAGATTAGCAAAATAGCAAGAAAGATGGAAAGCAAAAATCCACGATTCAGTTTATATAAGAAAACAAAATGATTGCGCACAACATTCGAAAGATATTCTGGTTTTCAGTTGCAGAAGGCGGCTCCACCGATGCAGAAACCACCATTAAAGTCTTTTGAAACGCAGCAAGCGACGACAACACTCTAAGAATAAATATTTTTTAAATGAATTGAGAAAATTGTGACGACAAAACTAATTTTTTAAACTAAGCCTTTATCCGCCTTGTTTAACGGTGTTTGTAGCAACAGTCAGAATATTTTTTGATTGAGAATTTAACTCACTGGACAAGAGGAGTCGCACGCCGGGACGACAGCAGAGTTCACCATGGCAGAACAAGCTAAAATCTTTGATTTCTTTTGAGCTTTGAGGCACTTTGGGCCATCTTTCTAATAAGCCAAAGTTGATTTATAGGCTGAGAAATGCGCTAATTGAATAAAACTTTGAGAATATTAATTTATTTAAACTTGAACCCATTGAAGGCGAGAAGAACGGCGAAGAGAAGAGCGAGACAAGAGGAGAACAGACGCATTGCTTGTGTTAGAGCTAGTTAGAGCTAGGAACTAAATAAGGACGATAAAGAAGGAGCTTTAAAGGAGCTTTCTAAAAGCTAAATAGGGATAAAGGAGCTTTAAAAGAGAGAACGGCGAAGAGAAGAGCAAGAGAGGAGAGAAGACGTATGTGTTAGAAGCTGTGAACTGATGGCAGATCGAAATCCTCGTCAGTCCCAATACTATTTATATTTATATGGAAGCTGGATTGATAACAACCTAAAACAAAAAATCGGATTCAAACGATCAAAAACGTGAGCTGAGAGGGACAAGTGATCACGTGGAAATTTCTTTATTTTTAATCCTCATCGGGTTTTATATTTAAAAATTTGGTCGCCAAAATGGGCTTCGGTCTCTCATCGCTCCTTTCGGTTTACGCATTCAAAAAAGGCACTTTATATGGGTTTTAGGGTTCAGCATTTTAACAAGCATTTTTCTCCCAAAACTAACCACAAATTGATCCAATTTTTGAGTGATTTTGATGGCTTCCTGAAATGGGAGCTCCTGGAAAGAAGGGTTTAAAAATCTTGTAAGAACAATTAGAAGAGCAGCTTTTAGCGTTCTCAAATTGATATTGCTTCAATTTAAAATTCAACTTAATCTTCAATTACTTGAAATTTTCAACTACTCGAAAAAGCGCCGCCTTCACTTTTGAAAGTTGGTCCACTCGAGGTCGGCCTGAAAAATGACATGTTTTAAATAAATCAAATTGAAAAGATTTTTTCATTCTAATGACGTTTTTTAATTTAGTCACTAATGGAAAATTTAGTCAAGTAAATTGTGAAAACTTTTGATTTGATCTTTTGAATAAAAGTCTATTGCCTTCACTCCTCAAAAAGTGAGAAGTGAGAGAAGATTGACAAGAAAAGCGGATTCTGTCATTTTTTCTGTTTTCTTTCATCCTACTACTTCTAGAGAGTATTTGCACTCAATTTTCTCCGTTCGTTTCCTTTTCTCAGCTTTTCTTGGGCCACTTTTGACACTCCGCCATTCATCCTTACTCCATTTAGAAGCTTTGATATTTTCTGAAATTTCTTTGTTAGCTGCACAGGTGGGCAATCAAAACACGGCAGAAAAAGCTTTTTAGCTTGCTTTGTTCAATTCCTTTGTTCAATTGCTTTTTTCGATTGCTTTGTTCAACTGCTTCTATCCTACATCTACAGTTTGTTCTACCCATTAAATGTGGGGAAAAGTCGGCTCGAGTCAGGCAAATTGCTTTTAGGCTGTTGCCGAAGCTTACTTTGTTATTTGTTAACAAGAGAGATGAGAACGGACAAACAACGACATGATAACCACTATGGGCATCCTCCATTCATTTAATCCACTCAACAATGACAATTTTTCCTTTTCCTCTGATTTTATTGACCTTAAGCCTTAGGAAGAAAGTGGCTCAAGTTTGAAACCTAAGTTGACTAAATTATAGTACAACACCAGAGTATCTTATCTTTGTTTATTTAAAAAAATAAGTATCAAAATGTTTAAGCTGTGTTCCATATCGAGCAAAAATCAAGCTAAAGACTTTTAAAAGTGACGCGGCGCCGAGTAAGCCGAGTAAACGAGCGGAGTCGCTTGCTCAATCTTTGCCATTTCTAGCCTCACTCTTTTCCCATCTGGGATGCAAATTAGCAAATTTCCGACTCATTCTTCGAAGAAATTCAACAGTTTTGATTCAACAGTTCATAAAATTTCGCTTTCACTCCAACACTCGGAAATATTTGAGAGATTTCTCTGAAATGTTCCCACTCCTTTCACTAATCATTGTCTCTAGGGTGAACTTTGTTTTTTTCTCTCTCTCTAATCAGTTTTCAGGGTACGGTAATCTTTTTTATTTTTCTGAAAAAGTATAAAAAAAACTTCAAAAAATGAGGCCAATTATTTTTTTGCACTTTTTTTTTGCTTCGTTTCTCGATCTTCAATCATTGACTCTACTTACAAAAAATCTCGACAAATTGCTTTTTAACCTTGTCTTTGGCGGAATATGGCTTTGTACAAACAGGGTGACTTTAGAGCATTAAAAAGTGAAAAGCCGAATACACTAGAAGGGGGTGTTTGCACCATCTTTACACTCAAAGCACGCGACAAAGAATGGAAAATTAAATTGAAATTTTTGAATTTTGTTTGCCAAAAATTTGAATTTTGATTGCCATTTCTCCTATACCAAATTTTACATTTCTCTTTTTTTGGAGCTCAAAAATGATTCAAAATTAAGGTTGACGTTTCAGGATAAAGCTCGAAGTGCAGAAAAATGAAGACAATGAAGGGAAAAGTAAAAATGTAATAGCATGTCTGTTTTTCAAGAATAGCTGATCGTTGGGAGGACTCGAACCCAACGCAAAAGGTCGCATGAGTTCTGTAGCCCAGCACACTACCTTTAGGCTACCTACCTTATTGGCTAGGGTTTGTTGACAAACAAGAGCTTCTTGGCTTGTTTTCGAAAATCAAACAACTTTTTTCGAAACTTCAAATGCAATTTCTCGCCAGGATTTTAATTTGAGCAAAAAGTGGATAGATATTTGAATTGTCTATATCTGATTGGTGCTTGCACAGAGCTTATCCCAAAACGCCCAGTTTGAATCCCCTTGTCAGACTTGCGTTTCATAGTAAAACCTATTTTCAGCGCATATTTATCCCCAAATTTCTCACCACCTTTCGATCAAAAATCAAAGGAAAACCAAGAGCTCTGGCACCACAAAACATTTGGGAAAACATCGTGATGCGGTGGAAACCATTAATCAATTTACTTCAACATTTCCCCAAGAGAACGAAATTCCCTTCAATGACAGTCATCCCAAATTTAGATCACCTCTTGGGGACAAAGTTCTTTACTTTTCACTTTTAATTTTTACCCATTGGCCAAAAATGGTAAACAAACGGCTCAGGCAGACGTTTTTCAGAGTAAAACAAGAAAAAGGCGAAAAACTGGAGAAAAGATTGGCCCCGTTAGTCTCCAAGGACACGAAAACAACGAGAAAATATTTAAAATACTGGAAAAGATTAAAGAAAATAGAGAGACTCAGAGATGGAGGAAATGCTCGAAAAGAACGTATTTGTCATCCGGTTTTGGCATTTCGCCGAGAGGTTTTCTCGCCTAAAAGAAGAGCCAAGTCCCGCCTAAAAGAAGAGCCAACCCTCTCCTTGCGGGAATTTGAGACTTTGCGGGAATTTGAGAGAAAAATGAGTAAAGAAATTGAGAAATTCCATAGCTTGAGAGAAAGATGCAGCACACAGAGGGATGCGAGAACGTCTGTACGTGGTAGAGATATCAAGCAAGGAGTTCGTAATTGGTGGCTAACGAGAGAGAGCAGACGGCGAAAGGGCTCCCCTTCACCCCAGACATTGCCCCTTTTCGTCCTCTTTCCACACATCCTCTTTCACCCGTCCTCTTTGTCGTATTTCCCCATACTTTGATCAATTCATCGATCGATTGACTACCTTCATCGTATTCCTCCAAAAACGGGGCACCCAATCCATCCGCGAGCACAATCCGACTTGGATCGAGCAGAAATCGAAAGTGATGCTCGGCACGACACAACCATCAGCATTTGTTCCACCAACATCCATGTGGAATCCAGTGGGTTTCCTCGGTGGTACTCAACCATTACCCACTCTTCCACCACCACTCATTCACCCCCAACATCAACCATTACAACCACCGATGTTCAACCTGGTGAGTCGATCTTCTATAGATACAGTAATCTTTATAATGATACTTTTTCTTGTCTTCTTCCGGCCTTCTTGCCTTCTTACCTCCTTGCCTACTTGTTCATTGCTCATCACCCATTGCTTGTGTGCTTTTTATCTAAGGATACACATTTATTTTTTTTTGTTACCAATTGTCTACGACAGAATACTTTCGCTAAGTGACTACAGAGGAGATCCTACGTCACTACAGAGATCCTAAATCACTACAGAGATCCTACAGTATTCCTCTTCAAGCCTCTGCTATCAAATCTACAAATCTACTTAACCTTAACCTGTAAACTTTCTCACAAGATTCTGACAACTTATACTTGTACTATTATATTCATTGAAGATCCAGGCGCTGTAGCTCAATCCAGCTGCATCTGATCAGCCCAGCCTTGTCAATCTTCAGCTTCTACTGCTATTCTTTGAGCCAGTTCAACTCTTATTCTATAGTACTAAACTTTGGGCTTAACCTAGTTACTCTATTAAAGCCTAATCTCATTATCTGTTTGATTGAAGATCTGTCAAGTCTCTTTACAATGTTTTACGATGATGAACCTTATGAGGCGAATGTTTTATGGCGAATGTTTTACTGCCCTGGGCAGGGCACTTGTAAGTTTCAAAGCTTTTTTGGCTTATTGCCTTTTCTTCTTGCTTTTCCTGTTAGCTTTCATTCAACCTCATCCATCACTGAACGAGTTTCGATTTTCCCATCCAATTTGGAAGAAATCTTTCTCATAGACTTGATTCCCTAAACTTTCTTCAGCAATTATATTTTCTCGCTCAGAAACAACAATTTCAAAATATTGCAATGTATTGCAATAAAATTTTCATATTTATTATCAAAGTTCATTGAAATCCACCCATATTCCCCAAATCGTTTCCCTTACTTAAGAGATTTTCAAAAAATAAACCCATTTGATCGTTTAAACTCATGTTTAGGGGAAAATCACCCGCAGGGGCTATATATTGACCCCCTTTTTGCCCATCTCTAGCCGCAGATCTCAGATAAATAGAAAACTGAAATGAAGGGGGAAATGAGACCGGAAAATGAATGCAAAAGGAGCTGGGAGGACATTCAGATAGGAGCGTCGCAGCCTCTCCCCTCGATCGATCCCCGGACCACCTCTCAGCCTTTTTTTCACCCCAATCCCCACTCAGTTTTTTCACCCCAATCCCCACTCAGTTTTTAGTTTTTTTCTTCAAAACTTTCTTTTTTTCTTCAAAACTAAACGCAACAGGCCTCCATTTTGAATTCTAATTCCAGATTTTTCTGTCTAAGCTCATCTGACTCCATTTCAAAAAATTGAACCGAATTCTCGAATTCTCGACTGCTTTTAGCTTTTCATTAGACATTCGACTCATATTTGGTTGATCGACTTTCGTCAAAAATTTCCTCGAAAGACAAATTCTTAAAATAGTTTCTATTGGATGGAAAGGCTGCTTATCGGGATGAGCAATCGGTGGAAGGAAGGGGAAGGACGGGGAAGGATGGGGAAGGATGGGGCAAGAAGGGGAAGCGAGGGAAAGGGAAGGGAGGGGAAACAGTGAATGAATGAAAAGAGAATGAGAAAGGAAAACATTTCCCTCATTTTTTTCCCCAATCCGATGGCACACAAACTGTTTGGTCGTATTTTTCGGACCTTTGCACAAAACGTGGATCGGGGGTAAAGTTGAGGGAAAGAGAAAGGGGGGAAGCGCGGGAAAGTCGACCCATCCTCACCCCTATTGAATGTAAAAACGTGGAAAATGTGAAGAGTTTGAAGAAATAGAAGAAATAGAAGAGAAATTAAAAATTTGAGATTAAGCAAAAAATAGAGGCAAGTTCGCTACATTGAACCCGAAATTCAGGGGGATTAATAGAAAATCAGCTGATGGAAAGACGTCTTTGATTCACTAGGATAGTTCTCGAGATGGTGATCCAATACATTCAGTTCGGGCATTCACTTGGAACAATGGGGGAAACGATGTGAATAAGTTTGATCAGCAAAACATAAAGTACACTCCACAATTACATGATGGAATGGAGCATAGCGCTGAATGAGACCTATCTATACTTATTAGCCTTATATAGACTGCTATGATTCGAGTTTTTCCTCTCTTTCAACAACAACTTTTATGCCAAATCTAAAAATCGGTGGAAAATGGGACCTCTTGTGACACTTCAACTTCTTTCGCTCCGATCGAATCAATGCACTTGTTCGATGAGTGATCGAGCCAGACAGCAGTCTCGTCGGCCGCAAACACATTATTTCAACAATTTATACTTTTGAAGTACCGCCCCCAAGTGTCCCCAAAAAGTTTCCCCAAACTGTCCCCAAAGAGAAAATCTAATATGGTAAACGATTTCGTCTGTAACAGCATTTTAAAAAAGCTCTAGAGCAAAAAGGAAAACGAAGCATTTCAGTATCAAAAAGAGTTCCCATATGGAGACACTTTGGGGAAACTTTTTGGGGACACTTGGGGGCGGTACTTCAAAAGTATACGGCAAATCAAGTTATTCTGTCAGTATACGGCAAAAGTATACGGCAAATCAAGTTATTCTGTCAGTATTCTGTCAGTTATTCTGTCAGACACTCTATCAGTTATTCTGTCAGTTATTCTGTCATACAATTTCTCTAAAATTGCCAGAAAACTGGGAAAGTTGGGTTTACCAATTTCTGAACAATTTCTCTACTTTGTACGCGATCTTCATTGCAATTAAATCTATATAAACTTACCTTAAATCTACTTTTTCCTGGCAACTCCTTTACTTTTTTATTAATCAAATGATCCTTATTATCTTTTCTAATTTTAAACATCGATTCTACTCAACTCTATCATTACATAAACTTTCCTAATCAACTTTTCCTAAGCGATCTGGTGAAAGCCATTTATTGTAATTTCCCTTGGTTTCATTTCTTTATTTCATTCGTTTCGTTCAACGAATCGATCAGAGAAGAGAGGGGTCAGTTAAAAAGAAAAAAAAAGAAAAAAGGCCAAGAAAATAGAGTGGGCAGACATCGAAAAAATGAGGGGAAAAGGCGAAAGGAAATGTCTCTCTTTTCCCCTCCTTTCCACCTTTGATCTTCCCCTCCATTTCGATGATTGTAATCAATTTCAGGGACTGCATTTTTTGGCCATTCCATCCCATTCCATTTCCCTCTCAATTCTCATCGATCTTTTGAGATAAAAGTTGAATCATTACAATTGAGTTTTGCGAATTTTTGAGAGCACATCTAGGTAGCTAATGTAGCTAATGAATATTTTGTAGAGATAAAGAGATTAAGAGACAAAATTAAGAGACGAATGCTTTTCCCAGCTCCCGCTCAACACTCAATGCTCGGCGGAAACGCGCAAGCTCTCGCGCAACCTCGGAAACTTCACTATCAGGTTTGTTTAAACTTGAAAATTTGCATAACTTTGTATAATATACGAAATTTCGATTTGAACAACGTTTTTTCTTAAGTTTTTTTTTGTTTTTTGCTGAAATTTTGTTTTTCAGCGAGCTTAGAATCAACGCAAAACTTGGAAAATAGAAAAATTCTTTAAAAAAGTATTAAAGTCTTAGAAAACGAAATCTCACGGATCTTTTTTCCGTTCTGAATCATTCTTTTCAAAAAAGCGAACTAAAGATCTGAGTTAAAGTCTTGAGATCTTTGATCGGAGCCTAGTTTATGAGTAAGTTCAAAAGAAAAAAACAACTTTATTTAATAGATCTATTTGATATTGATAGTATTCATAAATCTATTGATAAGTTCCTCCAATTCATAAGTCCTATATTTCTAATCTTTTATCATTCTCTTTTACAGAAGAATTATGTCAAAAAAAGAAACTCTGGCAAGGATCCAACGTTTTTTTATTATTTACCGAAAATGAGCTCAAAAATGATGATGTGTCGAAAGGTCGATGATGGCCACAAGGAGTCGATCGGGGATTGGCAGGGACGGTGGGGGAGTGATCGGCGGATGGAGGAGACTCCTCTCCACTCCCACCAAACGATACTCACCCACTGATGACTCTCCATTTCGAGCGAAGACCAATCAAGCGCACCTCCACATCCATTTCTTCATCGCCTACCTCAACATCATCCACATCAATCCCGAATTCCCTATCATCAACCCCGCCAAGAACCGTGCTTTTCAGAAAGATTGTCAATGGGAAACGGCCAACAATGGTCATTATACAGGTACATTCATTGGAATTGAACCGATTATCTTAAAAATTCTGTACCGGGGATTGGCAGGGACGGGGGGAGTGATCGGCGGATGGAGGAGACTCCTCTCCACTCCCACCAAACGATTCAAACCAGGGCGAACCAGGGCAGAACCTGGAAAAGCAATCCTGCTTGAATCTAATCCTAAGAAAAAATAAAAAAAAAAAAAAAAAAAAATGGAATTTTCCAAAAAAAAAGGGAAACCCAAGGGGGGGGGGAAAAAAAAAAAAAGAAGAGGGGGAGGGCCGGGGGGAAAAAAAAAAAGAGGGGGAAGAAAAAAAAAAAAAAAAAAAAAAAAACAAAAAAAAAAAAAAAAAAAAAAAAAAAAAAAAAAAAAATTTTTTTTTCCCTCCCCCCCCCCAAACACAATTCTTGTTTTTCCTCTTCTTTTTTATGTAATTTGATTGCTCAGATAAGCACGAGAAGAGCATGAAAATTTTGATTTTTGGAAGATTTTGACAGAAATTTTGGTTTAAGATTTTTTCTTTCTGAGTTGTTGGGTTCATTGGAAGTATGTTAGAGAGAAATTTGAAAGAGAAAAGCTGTTTCAGCTTTAAAGAGAAAAGCTGTTTCACAAAGCGATCAGCTGTTTCATAAACTTTACCCTTTTATTTATGTGTACCCCCTTGATGAAATCCAAACTTTTACCAAATAATTGATCAAAAAGAGACATTATCTTTGAGTTTTGAGCTTTGATTGAGTTTTGATTAGTCAATGTGTTTTGTTGATACATAAAATAATAGCACGATCTATTCTTCCTAAAAAATCGCCTTGTTTACGTCTAGTTTGTGTGGATCTCTCATCGAAAGAGAAGGCAGCTGTTTTTCGCGGGCTCTCCTATTCTCTATCACGCGTATCCAATTCTTTCTCCATTTTCTTTTCTAGTCTGCCCTCTGCCAATGTCAAGCCAAGTCTTTTGCTCCCTTTTCGTCAGCTGGCCGCAGCGTCGAAGATCTCTCTTCCTCTCGAAACTTCACCCCTGCCCCTCCCCCTTTTCACCCCACCACCCCAGCTCTAAGCTCAGACTCAAACAACTACCTCAACAGATTGAATTGTTTTCCTTTATAGAAAATGCTATTTGAAGTAGGTTTTCCTAGATTCAGGGCTGTTCCTTAAGCCATTGTCGAAAGCCATTGTCGAAAGCCTATAAGCCAGTCGAAAGTTTCGTCCTAGAACCAGCCCTGCTTTGATACCTTTGATCTCATTTTTCTGTTATATCCCTGTAAATGTTTTTTTTTGTAAATGAACCCATCCTTTTCTTTAAGCCTTCAATTAGCTATTTATTGACCTGAGCTTTGTGGTGATTTGAATTGATTTTATTTACAAATAAATCCCAGTACGATAACTTATGCCAAAGCGCATCATTTAGAAAACAATATAGGGAACACAAGCTCCTAATTGTTTCCTAAAACAAGTCTCCTTTCGAAAAGCTTATGTGTATCTCCATAAATGAAATCCAAACTTTTACCAAATCGCCTTGTTTACGTCTAGTTTGTGTGGATCTCTCATCGAAAGAGAAGGCAGCTGTTTTTCGCGGGCTCTCCTATTCTCTATCACGCGTACTTTCCAATTCTTTCTCCATTTTCTTTCTCCAATCTCTAGTTTATCTAGACTCTTGTTTAGTTAGAATTAGTTTAGAATCTTGCAAAATATAACAGAAAAGCCTCTCATATGATTTCAATATTTTCATAAAGCCGGGTCATTTAGTTACTGGATGAATATCTGATTGATGAGATCCTCTCGTTGGAGGACGAGCAGCGCACTCGGGGCAGCAAACCACACCAAACACCGGTAGGCAGATATTCTCTTTCTTCAATCTATGTTGCTTTGTGAAAAGTTGTGTTGAAAAGAGGTTGGCGAGGAGTGATTATTACACATACTAAGATCAAACAGAATTGTCCTGATTATAGATATATTTTGAGAGATAGACCACCATATTTTGTGAGATAGACCATATCTAAATATAGTTTCGATTTCTAATTATAGTTTTCCATTGGATTTCGATATCAAAAAGTAGCCCTGAATTTCAGCTGTTTTTTGATACAAAAGACGCATTTTTAGGTAGAGTAGTACATATAGCTGTAGCTGAACTGTAGACTGTACTTTATCGTGTAGTACTATTGCTGTAGCTGAACAGATAGAGTAGTAATACGGGAGATGAACTGTAAGAAAAATTATCATGAAATGAGGCTAGATTTTATTTGGGTAAAATAGATGAATGGGGATTTAGTTCCAAGATTCTGTCTTCTTACTTATCTTACTGTAGCTGAGATGTTGATAAAGTGTCTTAAGTTGTCCTGAGATGTAGGCTACTAATAAGCTTCGTGATGCTAAGCTAGGGCTAAAGTAATCTATAGTAATCTTACACTGTACTATAGTTAAGCTCTAGTTACAATGATTTCAGATCTGACTCTATGACGTGAGAAAAGTTAGACGAATGTAAGCTTTGATACTGAGCGATTGATGCTATTTAGTAGCTAGAGTAACCCCAAGTACTATCGTTAATCTTACAGTACGGTGACTGAACTCCAGTTCTTAGATGCTACAGTAATTTAACGGTATTGTATCCATCAGATCGCGTTTTTAGTTTTCCTTTGCGTTCCACGAAAATCACTCGCTTTTCTAGCCAACACAGCTAACTGATTCAACGACTATGGCTGAATATTTACATGTTTTATCCTCTCAATTTCCAGCTGACCGCCCCGTACTCTTGTGCAGACAATTTGACGAATCTCTTCTCGCAAGGAAGACCGATTCCCGGAAACAACTCTTCAGGTGAGGTGTTCAAGATTGATTTGTTTTTACGAATCAAATAGGGCAATTGGGGACGAGGTAGGCAGGTAAACGAGACAAAACAATGACGTGTCGGAAAGGGGTCAAGGGACACAAAAAGAGGGGAAAGTTCGCTCAAACCGGCGCTGTTTTCATGATCTGAAATGTCTAGAGAAAGCATTGGTTTGGCTGCCAGCCAGACACTTCATACAATTAGCAATCCTTTTGTACTTTTGCATAAATCCAGGTTTGAATCGAGTAGAATGATTCTATGGTCCAATTCCGACTGGGAGTGTCTGTCTCCTCTCTCGGGGATGAACTTTGTGTGGTGTATTGCCCCTTCTCTGCCCTTATTTATTTGTTGGGGGAAACCTGTTTATAAGAGAAAGTCATGTGATGGTCAGATATCCCGCTCGTTTCTCGTCACAATCACCCTTCTTTGCCATTTCATTACCTTCAAACCTTTTGTTCTTCGTTTCTTTTCCCGTTCCTAGTATTCGATGATTTTCAAACTTCAAATTTTTCGAGCCGATGTTAGACTGGAGTAAAGAAGGTTAGTAATGGATTAGGAATTGCTTATTATTGCTATCTATTTACTCATTATCATAAACAAATAGCTTTTGACAATAAAAGACGAAAGACAAACGAAAGACAATGAAACCAAGGCAGGAGGTGGTCTGGCTGGCTGGCTTGGCTGGCTGGCTTGGCTGGCTGGCTTGGCTGGCTGGCTTGGCTTAGCTAATCAAATTTTTAAATCTTTTCAACTTTAACTAGTCTAAGAATCTAGAAAACGTTGATTTTCTTGAAATAATTTCATTGTTGAATGATCGCCTTCCCTTTTCAAGAAGTTGAGTCAATCAGCTGATCGAATCGAATCCATCAAAAGAGAACGGATCGATCGAATCATTTTCTCTTTTTTATCTCATAAAAGCTCTCTTTTCTTTTCTCTTTTCATTATCAGGAGATCTCAAATTTCACTTTTTTATATACAAAAACCGGCACATCTTTCCGAAAAACGAAAAAAAACGCCTCATGGCTATCCATGATTGGTAGGAAAGCTCTAAAATTAAAAGGGTATTTCAAAAGGCTCTGGAAACCAGTTTAAATCAGAAATAAAATAAAATTTGAACAAAATAAAATAAAATTTTCAAGACTACAACTGAATATCTTAATTTTTTAAAAAGGTTTAAGCTAGAAGACAGCTAGAAGACAGCTAGAAGACAACTTGAAGACAGCTAGAAGACAACTAGAAGACTCCTTTTTCTGTCTTGATTTTTCGCACGCAATTTTAAAAGATATTCAGCTAAAAACTTGTCTAATGCCAAGAGCAAAAGGGATTATGAATTTGAGTTGAAACTGTAAGAACTTAAAAAAACCATTTAGGTGGTTCAGGCCACTCAGGCTCACCCGTCGGAATGGGAATCCCGGGCGCGATGCAATTCCGCCACGTCGTCTCCTCGTCAGCTCCCTCCTCATCGGATATGGATCAATTGGTAAACTTTATGATATAATAGTAAGCTGTGGATATAATAGGTCTCTGATATATAGGTATCTGATATGTCTAAATGATTATTATTGTTTGCAGGTACGTGGCTCGTCGCAAGGACCCGTTCCCAGTGCCGATGATCCGGAACACTACCGCGATCGCAGAAAGAAGGACATTCACAATATGAGTGAGTTCATTTCATTCATAATTATCAATGAAATCAGAAGTTTTTATTAGCTAGGTTTTTCAGTTGAACGCCGTCGTCGCTATAATATCAACGACCGAATCAAAGAATTAGGAGTTATGCTGCCTAAAGGAGCCTCCGAGTGAGTTGAAATCTAATTTCAAGAAAATGCCACTAAATATTTACTTCCCGTTATCAGGCATTTTCTCTTTAGAGCCGAATTCAGAGAGATGAAGTTAAACCAAGGGACGATTCTCAAAGCATCTTGTGACTACATTCGACAATTGCAAAAGGATCGAGATGTAAGTGAAAAGAAAAAAACTTCTATGCAAAGAAGAGCTTTCAGAGCATGATTAAACAACAGCAACAACAAAACAAATTGGAAAACGCTGCGAAACACTACGCCGATCGAGTCAGGGTGAGTGAGGGAAATGGCTTGGCTTGGCTTGGCTTGGCTTGGCTTGGCTTGGCTTGGCTTCACTATTCAATTCAATGCTTCTTCAGCTACAGTGCTGGACAATGAAATATCATATTTGAAAAATGATCGTCACTTTCGCGCGTCTGTAACTCCCTTGTCTTTGAGTTTAAACTATTAGTGTTACACATTTTCTGAAAGCTCTTTTCAAGGGCTACACAATGATAATATTAATATTTAGAAATACGGTAAAGACAAGGGAGTTACATACGCGTGAAAGTGACGATCTTTTTCTAAATTGTCCAGTAGTGTAGATATAAATGTTAAATTGATGTCGTGTGTAGTGTAGATACTCGTTAAACCATTCTACTAAGCGAGTAAATAAAGATAGATAAAAAAAGATAGCATTCCATGCACTCAATTCTAGGAACTCGAGGAGATCTTGGCGAAAAATGGCCTCAACGCGCCCACCAAAGCGCTTCCTCCACTCCCAGCCATCCCCTCCGCTCCTCGACCAATCAAACAGGAGATCGAAGAGAGTCGAAATCAAACACCATGCGGATCACTTGTAAGCGATCGCTCAACTCTTCTCTTGTCTCCCCTCGAGAAGACTCACAATCAATCGGCTCCCGATTGGGTACTAAAAAAATCAGCAATTCTTTTCGGAAACTAGTACTAGGACCCTAAATTTATCTTTATTTTGCTCTTATTCTCTATTTTTTTAGTCCTCATCGGGTTTTATGTCACAACTCTCTGACACGACGGCTGCGATCGCCTCGCCGCTAGGACGGATCCATTATGGATCCGATCAATTCTTTGGCTCAAGTCCACAAGATTATCAGACGCCACAATGGAGGTAGAGAAGTTATAAATATATCAAACAAAACCTTGTCTAATTATATTCTATTCATTGTTTGCAGTATTCAGATAAAGTTAGTGTCGAATAGAAGCAGAAAGTGGTGGAATTTGGTTGCAAAGTAAAAGCTACAGTAGCTTATTGTAGAAGTAGAAGCAAAGTAGTAGAAGTAGAAGCAAAGTAGAAGCTACAGTAGCTTATTGAAAAACAGTAGAAGATTACTGTATCAAATACTTGCCTTTTCTATTAGCGGGATACTGTAACAATCATTCAATAGCTTACAATTAGTTATTTAGTTTATAGTCAGCAAGTATTCAATATCTAGTTTCTACTTGTATTTCTCAATAGCTCTAACATTTGCAGATACCGCCCCGACCACCACAGAGGGATGCACCACGGGCCATTCCCCGATTTGATCATGGAGTCGTGTCTTGAGGTAGAATTGAGATAATAGATAAAAACAATATATCATTCTATTTAAATCTAATCCTAATATCTAAATTCTGATTTAAATATGAAATATCTAAATTGCTCTGCATACAGAACAATCCACTCCTCCATTCGGACCCGTTGATGTCACAAGCCGGTAGCCCGTGGCCAAACCTTGCCGCCAGTCAGATGAGCCCCGATATCTCGTGGGATCCATCGAATTTCAGGTATCATGAAAAGAAAATGGGATATATTGTATCCAATATAGAAATATGTACGATACTTGCTCCCTAGAAGTCGAAAATCTTGATTAAGCCTTGTTTAGATTATGCTGAAGCTTCAACGGGCACTTACCATAGGCTATACAGTCAATAGCGTTTAAGTCCAAGGATACTGTAGCCCAAGAGTACTGTAGCTCAAGGATACTGTAACCCTAGAGCACAACAGTCCAAGAATACCATAGCTAGGAATATTGTAAACTTTGAGTACTGTAGTCCGAAATACTGTAGCTGAATATTTCTTGTATGTTTATACAGTATGTTTAGAAGTTGTTTCCAGGCCACTTGGGGAGCATTTGTCAAGCTATTTAGAAGATTTCGGATATTTAGAGGATATCTAATATTTCAATTTTCCCCGCAAAGTCTCAATTCTTCGATTTTCAGCCCCGACGGGAACACCCAACCGATGCACGCCAATCACAATATGGATTATTCATAAAGAACTCGCTATTCAAATATACAACAAACGACTTGTACATATGTGTATCCAGTTTCATTCAAATATTTGTAAACCATTTTCGTTTCTTTCTTCATATCGTTTCTATTTGATCACTGAAAAACCCCCCTTTGTAAATCCGGTGTGTTTCCCTTTTTTAAAGGTGAAACCCATTGAAATGCGTACAACTTGTGTCGAAGAAAATCTCGACAACGTGAAGAAACGGGATATGGAATGGCTCAGCATTCAGTTTAAAAGACTCAGACTCATTCAGGGACCCGAACTCGGGTTGTTTTCCCACCGATTGAGCCATTTCTTCCCTTTCTCCCACCATTCTCTCTCGGGTCCACAATCAACAGGAACGATTTTATTTCTTTTTAAATTTCTTTTTGTCATTATTTTGGTTCATTTGATTTGATTGGTAACTCTAGGTCGATTGGAAAATCATCCTCACATCTATCATTGGATATCTCAAATTTCCATACAAGTTAACAGATGTTTAATTCAAGCCTGGCTTAGCCTAGGATTTTAGTCTAACTCCATTGAAGCATTGGAGGCTAGTCTGGCTCCATCGAAGCATTGGAGTCTAGTCTAGCTCCAGCCTAGTCAGGCTCCAGCAGCCTAGTCTAGCTCCAGCAGCCTAGTCTAGCTCCAGCAGCCTAGCCTGGCTCCAGTAGCCTAGTCTGGCTCCAGCAGCCTAGTTTGGCTCCGGCCTAGTCTAGCTCCAGCAGCCTAGTCGTCAGTAGTCAGGCCGGTAGTCTGGCCCAGCGCGGGGCGTGCCTAGTCTGGCTCCAGCAGCCTAGTTTGGCTCCGGCCTAGTCTAGCTCCAGCAGCCTAGTCTAGCTCCAGCCTAGTCAGGCTCCAGTAGCCTAGTCTGGCTCCAGCAGCCTAGTCTAGCTCCAGCCTAGTCAGGCTCCAGCAGCCTAGTCTAGCTCCAGCCTAGTCTGGCTCCAGCAGCCTGGTCTGCCTCCAGCCTAGTCTGCCGTAATCCTGATCTGTTTGACCTAAGCTGGCCTAATCCATCCAATCACCAATCAATTTTCGTTATACTTATAATTTCGCTATCAACTACACATGATATGCTATTTGTGGCCTGTCCGTCGATTCCCAGTGTGTGTATTTCCGAAATTCCTTTTTCGATAAATCCCCTTCGAATCAATTCCTCATGATCAAAAGCAAGAACAACAAAGCCGTGTACATTCTATCCCGTGAATTTGCTGTTCTATTTCAAATTTCGTTTTACTATTCGATTCGTAAATTATTCCTTTTATACAAAAATTTCTTTTCTGATACATTAAAAAAAAGCTGAGAAATTTCTAATAGGCGCATATGTTTCTTTTTCGAGTTTCTTTTCATTTTCTTTTCATTTTTTCATTTTTTTTATTTTTTGGGATTTTAAATGCAATTTTTTTGTTTTGTTTACTATGTTTTATTTGTTTTATTCATCAAATGTGAGGGTGATTTGGGATTTCGACATTACTCTTTCGAAAATTGCAAACGTACACCTTCTGGCACATCGAATTCTTCTTTGTTTTTTTTGTTCTATAAACAGCTCGTTTTCGCAAGAAAACTAGTGCACGAGAAGTGGTGCGTTTACGAGCACAAAATGAAGCTGAAGGCAAATTTACAGCTATAGAAAGATTCTAAGTGCTATAGAAAGAAGAGCTATAGAAAGATTCTCCATCTAACGCGTTTGGCACTGATTGCAAACTGTAAACTCATAATATAGTTTACAAGTATTGCTTTTATTTCATAAATTATCTAGATCACAATCAAAGTCACCCTAAAATTGATGATTCTGTATATTTATGGAAAAAAAATGTTTCTATTAAAATTGCTTTGTGTGAAAGAGACGATGAGGCCGGGCGGAGAGACAGGCAAAGTCTGCAATCATATTCATGCAATGATATTTCATTCGTTTGTCTGCCGGTCTAAACGTCCCAATTGATTAGCATTCACCCCCGTTCCCTAATTCTGAATTCTATATAGGCACTCGCTTGTCTCATCCCTTCCCTTCGCTCCTCTTCCCTATCTTCCTCTTCCCTCATCTTCCCTCGTCTTCCCTCTCTTCGCTTCCCTTCCCTCCTTCCCCAATCCATTCATCCATTCGATTCTCTGCTTTATTTCACAACACTGTATATAGACATGGCTTTTGTGAAATAAAACTTTCAATTTCTCAAAGATAACCGAATACACAGTTACACAAATCTAACAGCAAATGACTGTACTATACAGAATTCGATGGAATATCGTAAGCCGGTCTAAATCTACACGATTGAGAGAATGTGATCAGATCCAGCTGTGATATCATACCAGCTAGTCAAGCTTACAGTAATCTCGATGACTACGGTGGAAAATATTTGGTACTGCAAGGTAGTAACCGCGTAACTTGGTTACGGATTACGATAGTGGTAGTACAGTTATGGTTACTGTAGCATCTACTGGCTGAGTCACTCTTTAGCAAAGTCGATAAAGCAGCTAAGTTTATTACAAGATGACGATCGGAAAACGTTTTCAAGTTATAAATTAACCGTTATCATTTATATAAATTCAATTCTTTTGTCTGGAAACCCGCCAATTGCTACAAATTTGTGGAAAAGAGAAAAGAAGAGAAAGGAGAAAAGGGAGAAAAAAGAGAGAAAAAGCTCACTTGATGATCATTCTCATGATCACTCAGATTCTCATGCGCGACTTGTTCATAATTTCGACAATTTTATGAACAACTTGATCGCTCTTAAAATGTGCCTTATGAAATTTGGTTATAGACACAAAATACTTAGTAAACTTTAAAAACATAAAAACATAACATAAAAACATGGTGAAAATCACAGTCAAAGTTCGACTATTTAGGCGAAAGACGAAAGGATCACATGCACTGTACCAGGATACCAGGACCAGGACAAACTTTGTAGTACTACAAACTTTTAAGCAATACTACAAAGTTTGCAGTACCACAAAGTTTGTATTACTACAAAGTTTGCAGGATACCAGGACCAGGACAAACTACTCGATTTTCAACGAAATTCCTATCTTTTCCCTAGCGATGTAATGTTGAGCTCTAGCTAACTTTGTGGTATTGCAAACTTTGTAGTACTGCAAACTTTGTGGTACTGCAAACTTTGTAGTACTGCAAACTTTGTGGTACTGCAAACTTTGTAGTACTGCAAACTTTGTGGTACTGCAAACTTTGTAGTACTACAAACTTTGTGGTACTGCAAACTTTGTAGTACTGCAAACTTTGTGGTATTGCAAACTTTGTAGTAATACAAACTGAAAGCCTTCTCAGTACTGAAAGCCTTTGCAGTACTGCAATTTGCAGTACTTTCAATACTGAAAAGGTCTTCAGTACTGAAAAGGCTTTCAGTACTGAGAAGGCTTTCAGTTTTAGTACTACAAAGTTTACAGCTATTTATTTCATTAATATTTATGCATTAACATTTCACTAAATATAGTACCGATTTGGGGTTGAAATAAGACAGGCTCGATAACCAAGTAGTACCTTTATTGATATACCTTTAGGATCAGAAGAGTCTCGAGACACCAAGACTCGAACGTAGAACGCTTTTTTCGAAAAGATTATTTAAAAACAAATCAAGCCAAGAAGATCAAGCTTATAAGTCAATAAACCATCTAAATAAACTCTTAAATTCAAGCAAAAATAACAAGGAAAGTAAGCAGAGAAAATTGTTAAGGAAGTCAATTGATCGAATTAGCCTTTTGGCAATATCAAGTTGCTGGATGTTCAAATGAATACAGGCGCCTCGAGAATCTCAAAAGCCACGAACGATTTAACATTGGCGAAAAGCCATACAAATGTTACCAAATGTGGACCACAGTGCACTTCAATACAAGCCAATCCATTGTTTCAGGCGTTCAGCAATTCTAGTGATCAAGCCAAACACCGAAACCAAACCCATACAGATGAGGTGAGCTAATAAAGGAAGAATTTATCAAAGTACCACAATTTAGAAGCCTTACCTGTGGGTGATTATCAAGGATGTCCGAAGGCTTACCCCGATCCATCAACCCTTCCCACACGCGTTAAAAGAACTCATGGTGATCGGGTAAAATGTCGAGGAAGAGAAACTAGGCGAAGATGGTGGACGATGGCCAAAAACGGTTTAGAAAAAATTCAGAGCTTTTAACAACATAATACGATCAGCCTAAGCGCTGTTTTGTTTGCGCTGTTTTTTTTGCGCTTTCGTGCGTGATTAGAAAAATTGTGTATCGAAAGAAATAGTTCAAAAACACATTATCTTTCCTGGTTACAACAGGTACTATTAGAAGATAAATTTCAGAAAAAGCCAGCTGTTACAGCTATTTATTTCATTAATATTTATGCATTAACATTTCACTAAATATAGGGGTTGAATTTGGGGTTGATTTGGGGTTGAAATAAGACAGGCTCGATAACCAAGTAGTACCTTTATTGATATACCTTTACATGAAAATTTCCCCATTCTCTTTGCACTGTTACTTCTAAAATGCAGGCCGGTCCGTCATCGTCAAATGGCACACTTCACCAAAACGGACATCAAGAATATAGCAACAGAAAGGTATGGATCTAAAAGTTGTAATTTAAATTAGATTTAAATGCTCATTGTATTGCTAAATCTATTGCTGAATCTATTGCTGATTTACGAGATAGTCTAATTGTTGAGCTAGCTCGAGATGGTCTGAGAGCCACAAGAAAGCCACAAGAAAACACGTTTTTTGCACTAATTTTAAAATTTTAATAGCGACAAGTACGAACTTGAAAAAGCAATTTATCAAAATCTTTACAACTTTTTATTGCTAAAACAACGATACTTGAATAACACAAATCATGAACACAAAGAATAAACTATTTCCGAAATTTGCATATGCATTTAAGAGAATTCTTATCGATCAAAAAATCATTTTTTATTCCGGCTACTTTCTGTTTTCTTTCATTCTACTACTTCTAGAGAGTATTTGCACTCAATTTTCTCCGTTCGTTTCCTTTTCTCAGCTTTTCTTGG